AGGCATCAGGATAGCAGAAGCATCTCCGCAGTAGACGTCGTATTACTTGCACCCCCATATCTACCGAGTTGTCCTCATGAGGCAGACCGAAGAAACATGGTGTGCCACGATGTATGCCATACCGTCACAATGGGGATGGTCCTCTTGTGCAGTTTTGTGGAAACGAGTGCAGCTTCGAAGCCAAGACAGCCGCCGAAAGCACCCCTGCTTCAATGGACTGAGTTTGGAGAAGCTCAGCCGTCCATCCAACAACGACCCGTTGAACAGAGCTGGTCGTTCTTGGCTTCGCAGCCTAGTCCGTTTTGGTCTTTCGTGTTTTCGTATCGGAACATGTTTAACAGAGGAGGCCCCAAGCAAAAAGGAAGTACCATTGCGAGCGAGAAATTTGAGTCTGCATGCGCTAGGTTGACTGGGGAAATAGTGGCGGGAGCTGGAGGCTGAGGCTCTGGGAACGAAGGGTGGAAGTCGAGCGTAAGGCAAGGATCGTCACATTTTCTGTGTCTGACTGGCTTTTGTTTTCTTTCTGTTCGTTTTTGTCTTTGTTTTCAAAAGGTGCCTTTGGCGTCGTCTCTTTGTTTGGCTCCAAAGCCCCAATCTTTCTTCGACGTCGTGTGGCTGATAGTTGGTTTTAAAGCTTCTCGACCGTACATCAACGGCGACGCCGTCATCTCGCACAGAGAGTCTGCTCGGGATGGGTAGACAACCAGACAGAAGGCACCGTGACTTGCGTGCCTGAAGGACTTTGTGAGGTCCTTGAGGCAATTCCCAACTGCGCTGACGGCGACCTTTTGCTTTACCTTTCTCCACCGCAACAAGGTTTTAAGGTTATGATTTGTGACGCCACCAGGTCAGACGAAAATGGAGTATTCATTGCCTGGAAGAAAACTGGGGGCGGGCGGGTGTCCTTGCAACGAAACCATGGAGCGCAGAACAACTGCACACCATACCTTACCTGGTGACAACCAATGCGACGCCAACACGCAGTCTTGTTGAGACCCGAGGGGTAACAGAAGAACACGCATCCAAAAATTGAAAGGGACCATATATGCCGGGATGTCCGGCGTGAATGGGATGTCGATATGACTGAACAAGACGGCAGAGTTCTGACTGCAAATTCAAATAAAGTCGCACGACAGAGACGTTAAAGAGACAAATGAGACGAGAAAGAAGAAGCACAACGCGGCTGAGGCGGTCTGTTCGGTCGGCCAACGACGTATTTTTCCATATTCCAATGTCGACGTGCGCAACGTAATGTGACCCTGGCAGGGGCGGAGAGTCAAAAAGAACGACACCGCCAATCTTGGCTCGTTTACTGATTTTGATCTTGGCTGTCAGCTGCTCAGCCTCTCAATGTTTCCTTTCCTAGTTTCTAGTTTTCTGGGCTGCTTGCTGTTTCCTTTCTTTCGCACCGAGGCACCCCCTTATGTCGTCGTCGTCTACTGGCTGGCCCTTTTTTATCTTCTTCTCATTCAACTATGGACCCTTTTTTTCTTTTTTTCCTGTGACTGGTTCACTCCCGCTACTTCTGACACCCCTGCCATTTCGCTGCTTGCTCGTCACCAAACTTCAATGACGCCAAGACGGCCACTCTTTCTCCCCTCCCCTGTCCTTGTCGCATTCGGTGGCTGCCTAAGTCTCATGTTATGTGCTCTCAGAAGTGCATCGTCAAACATCTCTCAGTTGGATAGCACAACGTTTTTTTGCGTAGGCATGGTCATTTCCACCATCCGCGAATCGTGTGCCAATGCTAGACGACGTGGATGGCCTGCTTCGCCCGCCTCCAGCAGTCTTCGCGCGGCTCATGCTGCATCTCCAGGTCAACCAGCCGACATTACGTCAGCGTTGTCCGGAGTTGTGTAGAGCACAAAATAGTGCGGCTCTGCTCTACGCACGCCGAAGTGCTGTTCGACAGCTGCCGGCCTCTTAGCATGTCCTCGCACCCACAGACGCGGTACACTCGATCAGAAGTTGGGTGGCTGGTAATACGCCAAGAACTGTCTAACTTGCTGGGATTGGCTTGGGTCAAGTCAAAAGGCTCAAAGGACGGAAGGTCTTGTGTTTGTTTCGCCAAGCTTGGTCCTGTGCCGATCTATCCCTCAAGATCCCTCGACCGGACCCGGGCGTCCGTCAAGCCACTTGCTCATGTAAGGTCCGTCCAGCCAGTAGCCAAGCTTCGCGTAGTAGCTTCGTACACCGACGCCTGAGATTACACTGATCTTGTCGCTGCCATGCTCGTCGCGCGCTATGCGCTCCGCCTCCTCCATCAACAGCGTGCCGAAGCCCTGGTGTTGGAACTTTTTGGGATCGCGCGCGTGCACCGGCACTGCCGTCCCGTATACGTGCAGCTCACGCACAAGGCTCGTCGGCTGCTCAACCAGCTCCTCGCGGAACGTATACTTGGCCGAGCACTTCCGCAGCCGCAACAGGCCCACCAGAATGTCCTGCTTTGGGTCCTCGTACGCCAAAAATGTCTCCCAGCCGCCGTTGGCCGTATAGTCGCGGCGCACCAGCTCGACTTGGTTCGGCCGCACCTTGTGTTTTACCTCGTTGATGCCCACCTCGCGCGTGCGCACTTCGCGGCATGTCGTGCCAAAGTCCTTCATGCGCGCCAGCGCAAGCTCGCGCAGGTTGCCGTTCTCCACGCCCGACGTTACCAGAGGCATCGGGATATCGCGCTGCACGCGGTAGATGCGTGTCCATGGCGGCACCAGCGCTAGGATGCGCGCCACCAGGTCGATCAGGCCGTTGGGCGTGTAATTTTGATACCGTCCTGTCCGCCACAACTCATAGAGACCCGTGCCGCGGATGACCAGCGTCGGGTAGATCTTGAGGCCATCGGTCCGGAATGCCGGGTTCTCAAAGTACTCGCGGAACTGGTCCAGGTCACGCTCCATGCCCACGTTGGGCAGGTCTGGCATCATGTGACTGACCACCTTGTAGCCGGCGTCCTTGGCCAGGCAAAACGTCTCGGCCACGGCCGCCACCGTATGGCCGCGGTTGGTGTCGCGCGCCACGTCCTCGTAGAGCGACTGCACGCCGATTTCGAGTCGCGTGCATCCGTAGCGCAGCATGCTCGACAGGTGCGGCTGCAGGCAGTAGTCAGGCCGCGTCTCAATGGTGATGCCCACACATTTGGTGTTGCTCATCTCGCCCGCCACCACCGCCTCGTCCACGTTGGTCGTCTGATAGCCGCTGAGCGCATTGTGCAGCTGCGCGATAAACGTCTCCCGGTACGACTCGGCCAACGACATGAACGTGCCGCCCATGATAATGTACTCGACCTTGTCCACCGAGTGGCCCAGCGCTTTCAGCTGGTCGACACGCCCGCGAGCCTGCTCAAACGGATCGTACCGTGCGCGGATCGCCCGCATCGACGTCGGCTCGTAGCCCGTGTACGACTGGGTGCTGTACTCAAAGTCCGAGTCCGGTCCGCCGGGGCAGTACACGCAAATGTTGCCCGTGTATGCAATATGTGGGCAGCGGTGCGGTTTGCACATGACGGCCACGACAGCGATTCCGGACGATGTGCGGATCGGCTTGGCCACGAGCTTGGGCAGAATGTATTTCTTGTAGTGTTCGGGGACGGCTGCGATGATGGCCGTGAGCGGCGGCACGCCGTTGACGCGGTGCTTGCGCGCATACTTGGAGCGTAGGCTATTGAGGTTGATGTCGCGAGGCGCGCGCCGAGGGTTGCGCGATGACTCTTCAAAGTCTTCGATCAGGGCGTGTGCAATGTCCGCGCAGCATCGTAAGAACCGCTCGTTCTCTGGTGGCAGGTTGTCTTTGCCGCGGCGGGACGTTGATGCCGCCGTCTCGGTGACGGTCGTGGTCGACATGGGGTCCAGTCGAGTCACGCTCAATATCGATGGATGCCCTTGAACACGCCTTTCTCTGGACCCTCCTCACAACTACCACACACAATTGTCGAGATCAATGACTGGCCTTCCTACGTTGCGTATGCCCTCGGCTTTGCGCCGTCTCTCCCGTAACGTTCTCGTAGGTTTATCCGACGTCTATCGATTGTCGTCTTTGCGTAATGTCCGCAAGTATGCTTCCGCTCTGTTTGCCGATTCCCTGCTTTCTGCACAACGAAAGGCATTCTGCTGTTTGCCTATGACATTTGTCGTCGAAACTTTTCTGTCAACTTCTTATCGTTATCAGATTGTGACCAATCACAGCCTATTAAAAACCCACCCAGGCGGAAGCAAGTCCCCTGCGCGCGAGTTAAGATACGCCAGATTCGCTCCCACCCCCGCCGCCGAGGCCCTGTGGCTTTTCCCTGTGGCGGTGCGTTACCACACAAGCCGTGTAATTCCGCAGACCTTTACCGACATTTGGTGAGTAGTTAGTGCCGAGTTTCCCATCGTTTCCGCAGCCCAGCGGTGTTTACAGGCTCAATTTAATATGCGAAGGCATGCGCCAGGGTTTTTCAGGCCTTTCCAGCGGAAATACCACCTACGAAAACAGACCGCTTCAATAGCGACCGGAATTTGGCAGAGCGTCAGAAAAATGAAAACTAAAAATACAAATGCAAACGGGCCAAAAAAAAGAGCAAGAGATGTCACAGTAGCCAATTGCGTCTGTGCCTGTGCCCCCAACAGCTTGAAACGTGTGCGGTCGGCCACCGTCAAATGGGTTTCGTCGGGTTGTCAATGGCACTTGTAGCGAGGGACCGTGTGCTAGTGTTCGGTGTCCTTTTGCACATGTTTTGACTTGGGAAGTATTAGCGGGCTTGTAGCTGTCTGGCAGGTTTTGCTCTAATTTTTATGCCGCCCTGCTTCCTTCCCCTCATTCGGACAACACTTTGCTTGGACTCTGCAGAGACTTGCTCCTACTCCAAATTCCCCTTTCCGATACCTTCACATCCTCCTTTCCGGCCCGACCGACTTTCTCTCCTTTTGCACTTTGCTGCACCACCGACGACGCGACCTCGACGACGGACCGCTCAAGACTCCCTCCCCTCCCCTTCGTCCCCGTAATTCCCGCAAATCTCTTCCACTATGCAGGCTTTCGCACGGTGCGCCCGGCCGGCCCTGCTGCGCCAGGTCGCTCGCCGCGCCTACAGCACCGAGTCCAGCCCCTATGCCGCCACGATCGGCAACCTGCGCATCAACTCGGACACGAAGGTTCTCTTTCAGGGCTTCACCGGCAAGCAGGGAACGTGAGTACACAAAGTGGGAAGCTTTGAAGGGCGGTTGCGGCGGTAGCCTCTGCGCCAATGCCGACGGCGACGGTGACGGCGATGATAGTGGTGATAGAGGCAACGGCAAGCACCCAGGATGCCAACGCTGACGAAGCTCCTCCCCGTACACAGTTTCCACGCCCAGCAGGCCATTGACTACGGTAAGTACGCCCTCTGCTCCGACCCGACCGACGTACATTACCCACACATACTAAAACAAGCTCTCTTTCCTTACAGGCACCCAAGTTGTTGGTGGCACGAACCCCAAGAAGGCCGGCTCGACACATCTCGGCCTGCCAGTCTTCGCCAACGCCAGTGACGCTGTCAAGGAGACTGGCGCTACTGCCACGGCGATCTTCGTTCCGTAAGACACCCCGACATACTCAACCCAAACACACCATTGTGGCAGGCCAGAAAACTTTGTCGTACAGCTCTAACATGTTATCACAGCCCTCCTCTGGCTGCTAGCGGCATCGAGGAGGCCTTGAACGCCGAGATTCCCCTCATTGTGTGCATCACGGAGGGTATTCCCCAGCATGGTAAGCGAGCTTCTACTTGGCCAGTTTGCGCCGTTTACGTTGGTACGCGTTTAGGCCCCAATTGTAACAGTACTAACCTCAACACTTCCAAACAGACATGCTCCGCATCACCAACATGCTCAAGACCCAGTCCAAGTCCCGTCTCGTCGGCCCCAACTGCCCCGGCATCATCGCCCCCGGCCAGTGCAAAATCGGCATCATGCCTGGATTCATCCACAAGCGCGGCCGCATTGGCATCGTCAGCCGTTCCGGCACCCTGACCTACGAGGCCGTCAACCAGACCACCTTGGCTGGCCTGGGCCAGTCCCTCGTCGTCGGTATCGGTGGTGACCCCTTCAGCGGCACCAACTTCATCGACTGCCTGAAGGTCTTCCTCGCCGACGAGGAGACTGACGGCATCATCATGATCGGCGAGATCGGTGGCTCTGCTGAGGAGGACGCTGCCGAGTTCTTGCGCGCCAACAACACCGTCAACGGTGGCAAGCCTGTCGTGTCCTTCATTGCCGGTATCTCGGCACCGCCAGGCCGTCGTATGGGCCACGCCGGCGCCATTGTGTCCGGCGGCAAGGGCGGTGCTGACTCCAAGATCAAGGCTCTCGAGGCCGCTGGTGTCGTTGTCGAGCGCTCCCCGGCTGGTCTGGGCAAGGCTCTGCGCGACGAGTTTGTCCGCCGCGATCTGCTGTAAAGTGGAGGAGGACGAGGCAGTAAATAAGAAGGGGCTGATATACGAAAATTGATTGCAAAATAGGAGAACAGAAAGACGAAGTCGTTAAGAAGGTGACACGACATAGCTTGACACGGCGGTTTGGACCTTTTTCGTTTCTGTTTTGGTTTTCATACGAGTTTTCACCACCACACGTCCACGGCATCCGATAGAATACAGAAAGCAAAATCATATGAAAAATTACTGCTTGGGGGGTAGCACACAGCCCATAAGGGCCCATATACTGAGCAACAATGTGCAACCTGGAGCTCTATTTATATTGCCATTTAATTGACTTCAAGATGAAATGGTCCCATATCGTATTTGTCGGCCACATACTTCGCAGATAGGCGACCGGCATATTGTACAACAACCAACAGCACCAGCTTCGACTTATTAGCGTCTTGATATTTGGATATTTGGTCTTCAGCCAGGTCCAAATTTGTAGCAAGCTACCAATCTGGTTAACATGCATTAAATCTGGGAGGACAAAATTAGATAATAACGAAATACCGAATTTCTGAAGAAAGCCAATGTCGTAACAAAAGGCTAGCCAAATGCATTGCTTCTGTTATAGACGACTGTAGAACAAAAATAAAAGTTACTCGCGCACTATAAATATACTCAGACCAAAAATGCTATGCAAAACCCCCATACAGCCCACAAAATAACAAAAACAGCAGATGTAGCAACGTTCCACCGAGTTTCTAAAGTGTGCAGTTGCGCCGTAAAAACATGCGAGGTATGCTAAAATAAAACCAGTCAACTCCGGCATCCTTTAATGATCGCAAGGGGTGGACAACGCAAAGACAAGAAAATGGCGTTTGGGTGCCGCCGAAGTAGGTTACAGGAAGTCAGGAATCAGCATAATTCTTGGCGGTCTCTATTCGTTGAACAAGCAGGACGTGACATCGCCAATAAGGCCAGGCTCCATCTCGTAATCTCTGCCGTCACGACGATCGACTCCGAGTTGCGTAAAGGCTGCGACAACAGATGCCACAGAGAAGCCCATATCGGCAAAGCGGTCCACGAGATTCTTGTTGTAACCTGCATAGCTAAAGGTAAAAAAGAAGAAGAATGTTAATAGGAGCCTTTGGCTAATACATCACTGTTTATAATAGAAGAGTGGTGTGCATACCTTCTGGGGTCCACCGCCGGCGAGGGGGTCTGAAAAGGGCCCAAGGTCCCTGGCTGCGGCAGAGTTCGCGTGGCGCCGGCGTAGCGCACGGCCCAGTCGTGCGCGACAAGTTTGAACTGCTCCGGATTTCCTAGGAGCATGCTGGCGACCTCGGCATCCTGGGGATCAGACGCATTCGGGGTTTCAAGCAGCATACGTAACGAGAGCAGGGCCGTCTTGATCGTGTTCACAGGTGACCAGTTTCTACTTAGGACATCCAAGCAGATATATCCCTGGTAGTAGGTAGAGGAAGTCAAGAAAATTAGCCACAAAAGAACCCAAGTTTCAGTGTGCACATGGCTTTGTTCGCTGCAACATACAGTTTGGCTGCTGATATTGGGGTGCCAGACCCGAGTTTCAAATCTGATCTCGGGTGCTTTGAAAGGATACTGTTCCGGGACCGTGATGTTGACGACAAATGTACCAGTGGCGTATGGTGTGTCTGGTGGCCCAGGGAACGAACCCTTGAGACGGTCCAGACGGACGCCATCGACGGAGTGTGCGAAAACGCCCGAGTTGTCCTTGTCCTTTTCAATGTCCAGCAGCTCACGGGCAATGCGGTGATCTCGACTCGACGGCATATTGGTCGGTCTAGCTGGGGCGACTCTCGAGGAAGACAAGGACTGGGGGAGGTCGGATTGGGTATGGATCTGAGCTCTAGAGGCCGAGAAACCTGTTGATATAAGCTGCCGTTTGGCCCAATTAAGACGTTTTGCAGCGGTGACGTCGTCCGAGATTTAGGAATGAGGTTGTATCGAAACAAAGCAGAGAGAAACCAAAAAAAAGAGTTGATTCCGCCGTTGATCCCCGAAGCGATTTTTTGCGTTGTCACGTGTGCCCAGTAACCACGCAGACGGGTTTCAAACCTGGAAAAAGAAGTATAGGAAGCTGAGAATGGCAAATATTATGAAAGCTATAATAAACGGATCCTGGCGAAGAAAAGATGGCCGTCGAAGAGGGAATGTCGTGGTAATGGGGTAATGGATGGCGGTTGGAAGGCGCCCAGAAGTGAAGCAAAAATGCGGACCTCTTCGGAGGGGAGACCCAGTTGGCAAGGCGAGGGACCTCAGTCTGGGAGGAGTGATATAACGAGATGCAATAGTTTGGCGGCGGTCGGAATCCGTCGAAAGGCAAGCGTTTTAATCTCGATGAGAGAGGCGGTGGACGGGGAGGTCCTCCGGGTGACAGATGGAAGCCAGCAACAAGAATTGCCTGGGGAAAGTGCATCACACTCAAAATATGCTTCCCTAAACCAGAGTCCTCGAAGACCAAGATTTGCCCCGCTAGAGGGTTTCCAGAAGGACCTCCTGATGTAGCCTAGTAAGGCTTGAGCTCTATGATTTGTCGTTGCAGTTGGCGAGTTTGGTTTGGTACCAGCGATAAGTGTTTCACGTGACTTGATTAGATAACCTGCACTTGGGGCGGCGAAGGCAGGCGTGCTGTCGCGTTTCCCCTGGCGCCTGGTGCACAGCAATGCGCTTGTCGTTTTGCCTCCACAGCTGGCTAGACCTTAGCTTTCCCTCTCTTTCTCTCTGCTTCCCCATCCACTGCGTGTTTGTTGTTCACGCTGGAGTCAAGAACCAGTGTCCCAGCACATCGCAGCCACAACGACCATCGCTACCATCGCATTTAAGATCTCGCACGACTGGTATCGAGTTTTAGGACTACAGAGAGTTCCAACCATGGTACGCCTCTCTTTTTCTACGCCTTCTCTGCCATCGGGCGACAATGACATGTGTTGCGAGCAAATCAAATCGCTAACCGTGGTGACAATAGGGACAAAATCAATCTGGGATGGGCGGCGGAGCGCCTGGGGATGGCCAGGACGACAAGAGCAAAAAGGTAAGTGTTCAATTGACGACGCAGGCGCCGGCGACTGACGACGACGATGAGCGGCACCGTGGACAAGGAGAACATATTCGACGACAGGGCGCTGACACACTTCCTCTCGCTGCTTTATAGAAGGATAAGCCCAAGTACGAACCCCCGCCGCGACCAACGACTCGCGTCGGGCGTAAGAAGAGAAAGGCTGCGGGCGGCGGTGCTGCGGCCAAGCTCCCGGCGGTCTTCCCTACGAGCCGATGCAAACTACGACTCCTCCGCATGCAGCGCATCCACGACCATCTGTTGCTCGAAGAGGAATATGTGGAGAACCAGGAGCGGCTGCGTAAGACCAAGGCAGCCAAGGATAGCAACGCGCCGGCTGCCAACCTCGACGCGGCTGATGGTGCGGGCGGTGACCGCCTGGCGGACGAGCGCAGCCGCGTGGACGACATGCGCGGCAGCCCCATGGGTGTTGGCACCCTAGAGGAAATGATTGACGATGACCATGCCATCGTTTCTAGCACAACGGGCCCCGAGTACTACGTCAGCATCATGAGTTTTGTCGACAAGGATCTGCTGGAGCCCGGCGCGAGTGTGCTTCTGCACCACAAGAGCGTTAGCATTGTGGGTGTCCTTGCGGATGACACAGACCCGTCCGTCAGTGTGATGAAGCTGGACAAAGCACCCACAGAATCGTACGCGGACATTGGTGGCCTTGAACAGCAGATCCAGGAGGTGCGCGAATCGGTGGAACTGCCGCTGCTGCACCCTGAGCTGTACGAGGAGATGGGCATCAAGCCGCCCAAGGGTGTCATCCTGTACGGCGCACCTGGCACGGGAAAGACGCTGCTGGCCAAGGCCGTCGCCAACCAAACTTCGGCAACATTCCTGCGCATTGTCGGCAGTGAACTGATCCAAAAGTACCTTGGTGACGGCCCTCGTCTGGTCCGGCAACTCTTCCAAGTCGCGGCCGAGAACGCTCCGGCCATTGTTTTTATCGACGAGATCGATGCCATCGGCACGAAGCGGTATGATTCGACATCGGGTGGTGAGCGCGAGGTGCAGCGGACGATGCTGGAGCTGCTGAACCAGCTGGACGGATTCGACGACCGTGGCGACGTCAAGGTGATCATGGCGACGAACAAGATTGAAACGCTCGACCCTGCGCTGATCCGCCCCGGCCGTATCGACCGCAAGATTTTGTTTGAGAACCCCGATCAGAACACAAAGCGCAAGATCTTCACGCTGCACACGTCCAAGATGTCCCTTAACGAGGACGTTGATCTGGACGAGTTTATCTCACAGAAGGACGACCTGTCTGGTGCAGACATCAAGGCGATCTGCTCCGAGGCGGGTTTGATGGCGCTGCGGGAGCGGAGAATGCGCGTGCAGATGGCAGACTTCCGGGCGGCACGTGAACGTGTCTTGCGTACGAAGCAGGAGGGCGAGCCTGAAGGCCTGTACTTATAGACGATCCGTCCAATCTGTGTACCACTATCTTTTCCAACCCAAAGACCGCATTCCCGACACCTCGAATTCACAACACTCTTATCCGTACACCGTTCCTCTAACCTTTCCAATCCCCGTTTCATGCATTTCATTTCTTGTCCCATTGCGTTGCTTTGGCTAGACATGGATGGCTAGAGGTAGATGGATGGAGCTGATAGAAATTCGTTATATCAACTTGGAGCTATTTATCTACGTGCAGTCTTATGAATGTGAATGTGGATTTTTTTCGCGAGAGTATTAAAATGCCAGAAATCCTGAAACAAAGCGCTGTCTAAATGCCAGAAAATACCCTAAAAATGATGTGCCCCATAAACAGATATCCTTTGAATTCTAACAAACGCCAAAAAAAAAGAAAGAAAAAAAAAGATAAGAAGAACGAAAGAAAGAAACAGATCTTTACTCTTTCTAAGCCCACTGGCCTTTCTCCTTGCCATAGGGCACCTCAACCTCGTGCTCCCCATCGGCCAGGCCCAGGTCACCCGGGGTCGGACCCGCGCTCACCTCGCGCAAGACGGCATTGTCCACATCGGTGCGCCCTTCCGCGACCTTGAGCGCCTCCATGAGCTTACGCGTGGCCACAGGCCAGGCGGGGATCGCCGGGTTGTAGTTGGCACCGGTACCGGGCGCGGGAACCTGGCCACGCAGGATCTGATCGGCCGCAATGCCGCGACGGCCGTAGAACTCGCCGTTGGCGTCCGGTCGCACAACAATCACGGTTCCGTCGGCCTGCACACCCGCGTAAAAGCCGCGGCTCTTCATGTAGCTCCAGATGGGTGCCGTGCTCGCAGACTTGGCGATCAGGGCAGCCTCGACAGAGCCACCAGCGCCCACTGGGCCGGCCACGAGACCGACCTCGGCACCGAGCGAGACACGCGCCTTTGTAAAGGCCGCCACAGCGGCAGGCGTGCGCAGGACACAGACGCAGTCGTAAATGTCAAGGCCGACGAGCAGACCGGCACCCAGGGTGTGCACGAGGAAGCCCGAGGGCGGGGACCAGCCACCGTCGGGCAGACGGGCCACAACGATACCCGAGCCGCCGGCGCCGGAGATGTGGACACCCGTGCGGAACGTGGTGAAGATGGCCAAACCAGCGGCATCACGGATAGCCTGGGGCGGAATCTTGACCAGCGATTTGCGAGAACCGCTCTTGGGACCAGGGGCTGCCGTGTCTTGTGCCGGTGCCGCCTGAGCCGGTGCGTCCGTGTAAAAGCCGTCCTTGCAAAACGAGTTGAGAATGCGGGCGGCCTTGTCGCTCTCGAGGTCAAGGGAGGAGGGCCAAAAGGCCTCGGAGCCCAGGCGGTTGGTTAGGCGGTTGACGGGAGCGCCAACCTTGATGCTGAGCTGATAGAGGCGCTCGCGCATGCTGGGCTTACCAGACGAGGGTACAAATGAATCAGCAGCCGGCGGCAATGTCGAGCCCTGCGGTTTGCCTTGAGACAGAGGCCGGGTCGGCGGCGGTGCAAACTGAGGTTGGCCCAGGTTCTGGGGGTTCTGGGGATCCTGTGTCGGGAACTGCTGCGGAAAGGTCTGTTGTTGAGGGTAATCCTGCGGGTTGTATGGCTTCGGGGTGTACTGGTCCTGGGGACGGGGAGGCAGTGGAGGCTGGTCGCCCCCAGACCTCTGTCCGATAGGTTGTGACGACATGGTGGCGTTGGTACGTGCAAGAGTGAAAGATAAAAGAGAGGATGGGTGGTAATGGAGTAAATATATGAAATGAGAGAAGGCGACAAAATGTGCAAAGTTTTATTTTTTTCGATGTGGCAGGGAATGGAAGGAGCAGGTGAAGACGAGATCCGATCAAGATATTATCCAGAAATTAGCGATTCCAGAGACGACGCCGGACGATGATTTATATAACTCTCGCGACGCCAAACAAGTAACCAATATTCAAGTTCCAACCTCGTCCAATAACCCCAATCAACTAGCCCACATGTACGTTGACGACGACGACGACGACGCACGCGTGGCGAAGCTCTGGCGATCGGTGCTATTCAAGGGCGCCGGAGCGGAACGACGGAGCTAATGGAATGTTGGTTCGTTTTCCTGTCGATGTGTGGAGATGAAGTTTGGCAGATACTTAAATTTACAGGATCAATTCCCTGTTCTTGGGAACTTGCCGATGGTGTGCTCTTTTGAAGTCTTTTAGCGCATTTGGGTTATCATTTTTAGGAGGCAGTCCCCTGTAGGCATATCCACGAGTGGGCGCAGTCGGCTGTGCTTGAAGCCTGACCAACGAGAGCCAGCAGAA